AAAGAAAATACATGTTGAGAGCAGACAAAGGACAGGACATACTTTGAGTTGGTTGCTGTGCTGGACCCGGGACCCTCCCGGAGTTTGCCTCAGGAATGCTGGCCGTGCTTGGTCCCAGGACTGGGGGGAGCCATTTAAAAAGTCATAGCAGATGAACCACCTTGTTATTGGACTTCAAGATCCTGGAAGGAGACACACAGACACCCTGCAGCCCTCACCCTGCCTCCCTCCGCCCTCACAGTCGTCTTTCTTCCTTATCCATATGCAATCAGCCGGCCAGGAGGGGCGGTCAGAGCAGATGTGCAGGATGAGCTGCTGCTCTCCCATCCTGCCGGCATTATTGGAATAAACACACGGATATGAGTCAACCGTGTCTCTGCTTCATTTGGCTCAAGTAGTGACAGGTGGCCCCCAAACCATGATGACAACCCCTTTTGTTTTTCAGTGTCCCATATGGTAGCCACTAGCACATGCAGTTACTTACATCTAAATTAATAAAAGTAAAACTAAAAATTTAGTTCCTCAGTCACAGTAGCCACATGGGGCTATTTTGTGGCTTCCATATTGAACAATGTAGATATTTCTATGCATTTATATTTTCACGGAAAACTCTACTGGACAGTGCTGCTTTTAGAAAATAAGAATTCATGATAACAAGTGGGGACCAAATAGTTAATATTCAATACACATAATTCTCAATAAAAATATAAAACACTAACATACCAGGATAAAAATGTAACAAAGACCTGAACCCATAATTTTTTTTTAAAATCCTCACCCGAAGATATTTTTCCATTGACTTTTAGAGAGAGTGGAAGAGAGAGGGAAAGGCAGAGAGAAATATCAATGAGAGAGAGACTCATCGATTGGTTGCCTCCTGCATGAGCCCCAACCAGGGTCTGAGCTGAGGAGGAGCCTGCAACCTAGGTACACACCCTTGACCAGAATCAAACCCCAGACCCTTGGGTCCACAGGTGTACACTTGATCCACTGAGCCAAAGCACCTAGGCAACCAACAGTTCTTAAGAAGAAAATACTAATTTTACAAAAGCATATGAAAAATATTAAACCTAAGCAACAAAATAACATTTTTAATCATCACGTCAATAATGATGAGATCATAATTGCTTTATGCTAATGAGCGTGGTGACATGATCACTTGTAAACCCCTGAAGGCCAATAACAAAAACTTGGACAAATCGTTGCAGAAATCTCCCACTCGACCATCTAGCTGTGGTTCTTGAACCTGGCTACACGTTGGAATCACTCTGGGGACTTTCTGAAAAAGGCAGTGCCTGAGCCCCAAGCCCACAGGTCCATCTCTAATTGGCTTGGGATGGAGCCTGGGCTTTGGTGGTGTTCAAGCTTGTGGAGCATCTGATATGCAAACCAAGTTGACAGCCATTACTCTAGAGACATACGTCAGGGTCCAGGAACAGCAGAAATCCGACCTGATGTGGGACCTTCAGAGCAGGCACTTATGCCCACTGCTTGGCCTACCGTACACAGCTCGCTGGCAGCCTGCTCACCGAGGTCCCAGTATATCCACGTGGTGGGCACTCGTCCAGGAACGAATACTCTAGGTGTCAAGGCAGAGAGAGGCTCAGAAAGATCCCTGGCCCCAGACACACGGAGCAGCTGGCTTATTATGTGCTTTCATGAAAAGAACCAAAGTTGCATTAAGGGAGGGCTGGCATACCTGCGGTGTCCGAATGGCGGGGGTGTGGCCGCAGCTACAGGCAGGGATCCTGGAGAGCAGGCAAAGCCACGGCGCTTCTCATTAATGCAGGAACCGGTTGGCTCCCCAGGTAAAAACCAAGGGAGGAGAAACAGAATGGAGTGAGATGGTCCTGAAATGACTAAGAATAAGATTAAGAGTGTGTGGCATGGGGTGCTCTTGCTCACTACACGTGCATTATCTAGCTTAATTACCACAAGGATCCTAACAGGCACTCCAGTTATCATCCTAATTTTATCGATGATAATGCTTTGCTTTGGACAGAAAGTAATTGCATTTCCAACACTTTTTGCTTTATATGCTTTGATGTTACACAAGTCAATTCATGAGGGTTTAAACTCAAAGATACCGACAACAGATTGGTAGTTACCAGAGGAGAGGGCAAAATGGGTAGAGGGGGTCCCATGTATGGTGATGAATGGAAACTAGACTTTGGTAGTGAGCCTGTCAAAATGCACACAGATAACCCATTATAATTTGTTTTATCTGAAAATTATATGCTGTTAGTAATCAATGTTACTGTTTCACTTTATATATTAAACATGACCTTTGTTTCATTGCTCCAATATCCTTACTTTTTCATGTTTTATCTGATTGAATTGACTACACCACTGGAAGTGTCCTTGAACCGTTTGGGAATGGAGTGGTGTAACCTACGTATACATAGATGCAGACATACATCTTTATGAACTTTTGAAAATTTAGTGCTTTCTAGAAATCGAAATGCAGTATGTTAGCATCTACCTATCCTAGCTCCCCATTCAAACGTTTATGAAAGGCAAAAAATAAAATAAAAAATAATCCAAAGAAATTATAAAATTCAAACAAAACAACAATAACAAAATAACTGGCACTAGGAATGAAATTTAAAGTTAAGTCCAATGCCAAGTCTTGGTATGGCCCCTGAGCACAGCATCCTGGGAGAGTAGACAGAAAATATACCCTGGAATAGCAGAATACATGTTTTCAACAAATGTTAAAAAATTCAGTCACCTCTCGCCTCATCTGTCTACTAGAATACAGAAATCAAACAGATTCCTACATTACTGTAGAACTATTTTCTGAAATGCTCCCCTCCCCTCACTTTCCCTTTGGGCTTTTAGATTAAGAAATTTGACAATGAGAAAGCAATCATGTAAAAGAATTGGTAGTAAACACTGAAACTACTGAAAAACCCAGAGAGAAATAAAACAACATAACTACTGAGTATGAAGCCAAAAGATGGGTAGAGGGGAGTCCCATAAACTGAGCCTATAATTCCTAATTAAATTTATAATTGTGAAAATTGGAAAGGCAGGGAGTAATAAAAGCATTTTAAATTCCATGATATACATCAGAGTAGGGAAAAATATATATCTTCCAAATCACTGTAAATGAAAAGAGCAAATATATACAAAAGACATAAACCAATCAGTGAAACAGCTATTTTTTACAGTCTCTAACTCACCACAAAATATAAACAAAATGACAGAAATAGGACTGAACTCATCAGTATTAAAACAAAATAAAGATCATTTTGCTCTACCACTGAAGTTAGACTGAGTTAGAGAAGAAATCCAACTACATCTCTTACAACAGTGAGACCAAAATCAAATTACATAGAGAGAATAAGATCAGAAGGACAGAACAAAATATGTCAGGCAAACAAAAATAAGCAGAGGTGGCACTGATCTTATCAAAGGAAAAGTTCAAGGCCCTTTTATATTGAAGCAAAGTGAAATCCATATCTATGTTATAATAGTCCTGGGCATTTATGAGCTGATTAACATAACATCGAAATTTATAAAGCAGCCGTAACCGGTTTGACTCAGTGGATAGAGCGTCGGCCTGTAGACTCAAGGGTCCCAGGTTCGATTCCGGTCAAGGCCATGTACCTTGGGCACGTCCCCAGTAGCGGGTGTGCAGGAGGCAGCTGATCAATGTTTCTCTCTCATCGATATTGATGTTTCTCTATCCCTCTCCCTTCCTCTCTATAAAAAATCAATAAAATATTTTTTTAAAAAAAGTAAAAATCACAGATGGGACAGGCAAGCATCAGAACCAGACTCGGGGATGGCAGGGATATTTTAATTATCAGACCAGGAATTAAAAACAACTATCATTAATATGCTAAGGGTTTTACTGGATAAAGTAGACAGCATTCAAAAACAGATAGTCAATGTAAGCAGAGAGATGGAAATTCTAAGAAAGAACCCAAAAGAAATGCTAACGATAAGACTGTAACAGAAATTAAGAATGCCTTTGATGGACTTATTAGTAGACTAGACACAGCTGAAAAAAAAATCTCTGAGCTTGAGGATATCTCTATAGAAACCTCCCAAACTGAAAAGCCAGAAAGAGAAGAAAATAA